ATACATACCGCATCTTCTATGTCAATACACAGAGTGTGGTTCTTCTCCATTCCACCGTACAGCTCGTTCAGGCCTCTGTATGTGTTCTTGCAGCTCTTGCACAGCTCTGTGTGGTTCCCCTGCGTAGAAGACAGCCATCGTAGTTATCTTCTGAGGATAAACTCACGACAGACGGACATCATCACCTCGTTCACAGCGTACCTGTTTGTACTTATCAAAGCAGCTGATGGTCTGATTGAGCAGCGTCATGAAGTACAGCGTTGTGTTGGACAGGTTGTGGAGCCCGTCAGTGAGACACTCTGCACAACAGAACACAAAAGCCAGATTTGAACCAGGTTACAGTGACTTTGGTTTACAGTCGATGACTCCAACAGGCGCTGCGGCTGTTGGTTCCTGCATCTCAGTCATTAAAGTTTGTTGCTATTCTTTGATCTTTGTGAAGGTTAACTGACTATAATATAAACACAGCATGCAATATTTACTCAGTTCTATCATTTTTATTTAACGTAGGGGAATAAGTATGTGTTGTTCAAACACATCATGAATGATAAGGGGCAGATCAGGAGTGGAGTCATAAGACCAGACATCACAGGTCAGCGTGTCCATCAGTGTTATGGTGCATCAACACACATCTGCGACACACAGAGTTTAGAAAACAAGAGATCAGAGGAATTTTTACACTTTATGGCTCAAACAAATAATAGTCAAGGAGATAATAACCAGATTAACTGAGTATTTAAATGGTCATGAGCTGCAGCCTTCAACAAACCAAACAGCCCTGGATGGCACAATCCTGCTCTTGGACTTTCACGATTTGCCACATCTGATGTAATTATCTCATAAAGTCACGACACGCTACGGCTCCACTTCCACTTCCTGTCAGATGTTTGACCTCTGCAGCATCCAGTCTGTCTGCTGCTCACTTCCATTAAAAGTGCGAGTTCAAGGAAATGCTCACAGTCCTAATGCACAGAACGCTGCACGCTAAAGGTTTCCTGCAGACGACTTACGTTTACAGAGAGACCTGGTCCACAGATCGTCCAGGTTGCTGTACAGCTGGAAAACCAGCATGAGCCGATCGCTGCGCAGAAGGCTGTCCCTGCAGCTCACGTTACCAGGACCCATCTAGAGATAGATAGACAGATAGATAGATAGATAGATAGATAGATAGATAGATAGATAGATAGATACTTTATTGATCCCGAAAGAAATTCAAGCATCCAGGAGCTAAAAAGCTAGTCAGGCAGAAACACATAAGTGAATAATGAAGAGTGCGGTGTAAGTGGTGGTGGAGCGCATACAGCAGAGGTACAGCTGTAGTTGGTCTATCATTAGTTTTAAGCCACAAGTCAAAGTGATGCTGGAGTGATCCTGTGATGACCATGAACCCAGTCACCACCTGTCTGCCAAGGTGTTCCTGCTGTTTCTGTGTCATCCTGGAAGACAGATCCACTGAAAACACACGTTGCTGGTGACTGCAGAGACTGTTTCCTCTCATGTCTCACCAGCACCACCACCACCAGCACCAGCACCAGCACCACCAGCACCAGCAGCCCACGGTCACAGCACAAGACTCGTGACCGACGACACGTCTGCGTTTAAACGAGGCCTGTCCTCTTCTAGCAACCAGCCCAGCGGGGGCCGCTTAGCACCAACCTGAACACACACAGTGACTTCACCTGGTCCGATGAGATGTTCGTGTAGGTGTCCACGAGGCTGCCGTAGCTGGAGAAGCAGTTCTGACACACTCGGACGGGCCGAGCAGCCGGAACCAGGCACTTCACGTAGTCCACGTACCGCTGGCCGAAGATGTTGAGCAGCTCGGTGCAGTAGTCGCTGATCTCCAGGTCTTCTGGGAAGGAGGACAGCAGGTTGAGGGAGAACAACGAGTCCACGGCGGGCTTAAACACAGCAGCGGCGGCGCTCAGAGCCGGTTCCGGTCGGTCCGCTGACTCCGGAGCGGTGAAGTCCACGTCGGCGGACACGAGAGCGTCGATATTTATCAGTAAAAACACCAAAAACCAGCTGCTCTTGTTCAGCGCCATGTCTGAACACGGAGAGGGACAGCTTCTCCTCCAGCTTCTCCTCCAGCTTCACTCAAAACAACACATGACTTCCTCGTTTACTCCCAACGGCATCATGTGACTGCTGTAAAATCTCGCGAGAGTACATCAAAGCCTCGTTATCTTCGAATGTATTCAATGCAATTCAATTCTGACAACTTTATTTATACCCTAAAAAAATAAACACATTAGAAAATAAAACACAAAATGAACAAACAGATTCATAATTATATTCATGATTAATTACCAACGTGTCACTTCTCGAGGTGCATTTGCAGCATAAAGTATCATATTTAAGGATGCTGTTTGAGTTTATAAGTTTATTAACAGAACTTTACACCACAACAGTTCAGTTCACTTTTATTACTCATCTATTCTCCGTAGGGTGAGTCAGCCTGCAGATCTTAAACCTCCTCATACATCCTCGTTGTTTTATACGTATTTATTTATTTTCTTGTTCAGTAGAATACACTGTAAAGCAGTGCACAGTTAGAATCACTGTTAAAATCACACCTTTAATAAACTCCCACCTCCTCACTGAACATGCTGTCATCCTGCTGGACACACTCAGAGTAACTCACCTTTAAGCCGTCGTACAGAGGACACACCTGGCTGACAGACTTACTTTGCTTCATGCAATAAATAAATAGTTTGTGCTGTCTTTTACATTTCAGCTCTCACTGTATTTATTGGTCCATATGTAATGGATATGTATATATATAAAGAAAAATCCGTCTGTCTTTCCGTCAACCTGGTCATCATGTCTTTTTCTTTTTACAGGAATCATTTTCTGGATCCTGTATTTAAATGCGCACCAACTCCACCATATGATTTTTATTTTAGTTTTTCAATCATAACAGTCATCATCATTGTATAAAGAGGGGGTGAAAAAGCTAATTCATACCTACATCTGCACAGTTCCACTTCCTGTTAACCCTCAAGTTTCTGCAAACAGGCTGTCTGGCAGACATCTAGAAAGGCTGCTGGGTGAATAAATCCTCTAATGCACCACTTTCCCTCCGTACACAGTTCAGTACAGGCTCCACAACGTGGACTTCTCACATTTAATGCACTTAGCTAGTCAGTTATGTCCCTTGTATATGACATAACTCTGTCTGTGTAGTTGTTTGGAGAGTTTTCAGGTTGGCCGTCTCCCAGCAGGATATCTGCAGCAGCAGCAGGACTACTGTGTGTGTGGATGCTTCCCTACGACTGGCCTCTCTCATCACTGAACAAAGCACCAGCGTCAAGGAAAACACATTTCTGCTGTCACACAAGTTATCATTAGATCACGGCATCTGATCAGGTCGGCTGCTGTTACACATCAGCATCTTTTCTCCTGGAAGGTTTCCTACACATTAAGGAAAACTAATTCCTTTAAAAAAAAAAAAAAAAAAGAAAAAGATTGATCCAGTTCCAATACACTCACTGTGATATGTTTTTGTCAGCGTGTCTCAGGCATACAACTGTAATATAAAGAGAGCGAGTCGACCTTATTGTCTATCCATCTATCTATCTATCTATCTATCTATCTATCCATCCATCCATCCATCCATCCATCCATCCTCCATCCATCATCCATCCATCCATCCATCCATCCATCTATCTATCTATCTATCCATCCATCTGTCTATCTGGATGAGATGCTCTGATGCTATTCTCTCGGTGCTGTAGGTCACCGCCTGCAGTCTGAACAAGGGGGAGGTGTGGGTGTGGGGTGCAGATAGCTCCTTCCTCCTGGTCTCCTCGTTATTTACGGGGTTTTTGACACCATACAATTTTGCAATGTACGCCCGGCACCGAGCAAATAATCACGGAGTCAAGGTAAACGATCTGGGCTCCAATCCTGATTGTGATAATTGTCAAAAACCCCCTCGAATCAAGCGACCGCAGTCAATGGTCGTTAATGTGAAATTAGTGGCTCTTGATAACTTACGGGCCGCATCAATTCCGCTGTCATCAGAGCCTAATGAAAATAAGGGGGCAGAGGATGCACGCAGCATTAGCGGCCTATTCTGCAGCCGGCGCACCACTCGGCTGATAAATATGGATTCTGGCCCCTGGTGCTCCCCTCGCTGCACATGGCACCGGCAGCTCGTTAACTCTTCTTCTCCTGACCAGAGTTCACCTAATTGTTCAGATGTTCCTCCGTTCCTTTATTATCTTCTAGTGTGGCTCTCAGAAAGAAGGAGTGATTACAAAGTAAACCCTTCATGATCCTTTTTCTTGCTGTGGATGGTTACACCTCGCTTTTTAGCATTTTATCACAAATACCTTTTTTTTAAAAGCAAAAATTCATCCTATACGTAAATAACATAATGCTAATTATTATGATTATTATTAATCAGTATATAAGCCTATAGGTTCGGCTCAGCTGTCCCTCTAATCAGCAGAGCTCCCACTAAAACACCCCCATGTGAGGTGACCAGAACACGCCTTCATTAGCATTTGATAGAGAAACCAAGAGGACAAAAATCACTAATTAGGTCCATAAATTAGACCATGTGATGAAGATGACGAGGGCCCTTCAGGAGCAGGAGGAAGGACTCAGTCTGGGAGACAATGAATCCTGCAGGACCAGGAGAAGAAGACGGCGGGTACATGAAGATACGTGCAGCTCAGTTTTACTCAGTGATGTTCAAACACAGTCGGACAGTTTCACACGACCTGCAGCACATGAGCCAGGAGTCAGCGCCGTGTGCACCTAAAGGAGGGAGCGTTTCAGAGGCCTATATGTCATTAGAATGATGTGTGTGATGTATCAGCAGCAGTAGAGGCGCAAGAAAGCAAGTTTTACTTTCCTTACATACAACTGGATGAATAAAGTGGTGGTTTCCAGGCCTCCATGCATCACTGCCTGTCTAAATGGCTAACTAGCTAATAGCGTTCTGCTAGCTAGTTAGC